TTGATCAACGACATCTTGAACTTAAGAGGGAGAGCTTTATCCCGGATAGAGGCAGTGAAAAGAGAGTTGATGGTGGAGGAAGTCTTGTGATGCATGTTCTGCATGACCCCCTGTAGTTGAAGTTGCATGGCCCACAATTCTTCATCCCAGATGAGAGCATTATCCCCACAGGTAGGGATCGGGGGTTGAACACTGCTAGCCTCACCCTCATGGGCAGCCATATGGTGTGGTAAAGGGTGGTTATGGAAAGGCGATGGTATATCTTGGTGAGGTTGTGAGCCTGACGGAGGAGGCTAGAAAGGTTGAAGATCTGGTGGGGCGAAGGGTGGAAAGGTTTCTTGAGATATGTGTGGTAGGAATCGGTGGTAATGATGGGAATGTTCTGGGTGCGGGGGAACCATTGGCTGTAGTGGAGGCAGGATAGGCAGGTCACGCTGGAGTAGACCATTGATCATGGCCTGGTTTTGTTTAGTTAGTCGGTTGATGCCGTTGGTGAGTTTTGGAAAATATGGAGGCGGGTTATTTGGGTTGGAGGGCTCAGCTTCGGTGTTACCAGCATTGTGTTGGGAAGCCATGGATCTAGTTGTGACCGTCCACTTTGATGTAGGAGAAAGACGGGGCTCCTTCTAGCGACAGTGAGCACAACTGCCTTTCCGAAATGAAGATTCCCACAGACGGCGCCAATTGATGTTGTACTTTTCCTGACGAGAGATAGATCGGGCCAAGCTAAGTTCCCAACAGGTCCACTGCAAAAAGGTCCAATGAGGGAGGTAATCCCCCAGCAGACACTCTGATGATAAAGTTAGAATATGAGAGATTGACTGTGTAGAGAAAGAGAGGAGAAAAAATGAAAAACTTAACCTTTGATATGTCTCGGAAACTTCTTTATGTCCTTTGCTCATCATTTCCTTGTCCATTTCGGCCTGTTGTGTTAGCCGAAAGTCTATGTTCTAGCTTGCATTGTTCATGGTGAGTCTGTATATTCCGACGTAAGGAGGTTGTCGCATTTAATGTTGTGTGAACCTCATTAATGACTGATGTGTGGTACAATAATTTTGCAGGATTTTTGTGTGCTTATGTGTCTAGGCTCCTCTTTGGCAAGCGTTAATGTTATTGGTCCTGGCCTAATGTTGATGTTATTAGGCTTAGACTGCAAGAATGTGGGCTGGGACCTGATCCGTGGGTTGGGCCCTCGTGGTTGTCCATTAGACCCTCGTGGTTGAGCCCTCCTAGGTGGCCATCGGTATCATGTAATATATGTATTTGTTTTAATAGTTGTAATATTGATGCATGACTTTATTTTTAATCCCCTTTGCTGAATCTTTCTTTCCAAATCTATTTTTGCCTTCTATTGCGCAGTGCTATCTCAATCTGACCCAGCAACCCCTTTAAAAAAATAATATTAAATTTTTGTTTTTGTATGTTAAAAAAAATTTTCTATTTAGTAATAATATTAGTTATTTATGAGATATGAAAGTTTGACATTTAAAAAACGAAGAATAAAAAAATTTAAACTCAAATAAAGTTTGAAATAGTAAAAAGTTACTATAAAATAATTCAAAAAAAATGAGCAAAAAAAAATAGTAAAGTTCAATAACCAAATCAATTTGTATCCAAGGATAAACTTGCGCAACTTACTCAATCCACATCTGTTAACTAACTGAATAAATTTTTTTGGAAAACTTATTATTGTGAAGTTGGAAGAGAGATTTTTTGAGCGTCTACTTTTTAAATATTAGTTTCGTTTACTATCATTGTGACTAGGGGTATAAATTTGGCCTGTCCTGGCCCGGCCCAGGTCGAGTCTTGTGGGCTCCCATCAAAATTTGGACCAAACCAGTGCACAGGCCCAAAAATTAGACCCAGGCTCAACCCCAGGCCCAGGGGTATTCGGGCCTTGGGCCGGGCCTAGGCTCGAGCTCGGGAAGGGTTTGAACATTTTTTTTTTCTATTTCAAAAACTCTAAATTCCTCTAAGTCAATCTCGTTGATCCCTGTAAATATAACAATCTTGATGAATAGCTACGCAACTCGCCCGCTGATTACCTTCCCGACTATTTCAAATCTCACCATAAATACATTTATTTGGGTGTAGTCAATGGATTAAATTTTGAGACATTATTGTGGATAACTGCCCTTGCTGTTGTAAATCTCATCACTGATTCATGTGTTTGTATATATATTCGTATTCAAAAATGTTTGAGACCCCCTTTCTCTCCCACCCCCTTTGACCCCCTTTCTTTCCCATTGGACAATTTTTCTTTTCTATTTTTTTTCTTTTCCTTCTCCTCCAGTTACCACCCACCACGTGTGTTGGGGGGGGGTGATGGGGTGGTGATTGGAGGGGGTTTCTATCAATGCTCATTGGTATTATTGTGTTATTTATTTATTTATTTTTATACTGCAAGTTTAACCTGGACGATGGATTGTTGAGATTTTGACTTGTTTATTATAATCATCATAAATGACAAGAGTACATTTTTTTGAGTCCCAGACATTGTTTTATTGCTCAGGAACTCATGGGTGATCCTCATTGAACAATATCTATTTTGGAGAGAACAATCGTGAGTTTTGAGCATTTCTTCCATTTACAAAGTAACAACACAATAAGAAATAATAATTTTGACAATAATGGTAAGTTTTGATAAGTAGTTTAGAGTTTTGTAGTGAGTAAAAAGATGAAGAGAAAATAATTGAAATTTGAGAAAGATGAACAAACTTGTTTATGAAAATTATGTATAAGTGATTAGGATGTACCATAAGAAAAAAATAATATTTGGTGGTGATTGGAAATGTGTATTGTTCTTATTAGTAAATTTTAAAATTTTAATTGGACATACTGAGTTACTATTTCGGTGCAAATAGAGAATCACTCGTTGGTTTGGTGTTAACTTTAAGTTATTTTAAAATTTTTTAATAAGTTATTTTAACTTTTTAATAATTTTTGTTTTTTTTTTTTTTTAATAAATTACAAATACATCCTTTGAGTTTTGCTTAAAATATAGATTACTCCATGTAGTTTGAAAAATTACAAATACTCCCTTATTAGAATTTTTTATTTAACAAAATTAACTAAAAAAATAAAATTCATAATTGTTCTCTTATATAATAATAAAATTATCTAAATTATTAATTGAAACATATTTTTAATATTATCATAAATTATTAATTGATTTAATAATTTATTAATAAAATAGGCGATTTGTTATGAAATTAGAAACCTCAAGGGGTGGAATGTAATTTTTAAAACCACAAAGAGTGATTCGTATTTGAATCAAATCTTGGGGATATATTTATAATTTATCCTTTTTTTTTGGTTACCTGTTTATATGTAAACATGGTATATGATTTTAGACATATGAAACATATGGAACTTGGAGTACCTCTGCGAGTGATGGCGAATATAATTTGATGTAGCTCTCAATGTTTTATTGCTCAGGAACTCATGGGTGATCCTCATTGAACAATATCTATTTTGGAGAGAACAATCGTGAGTTTTGAGCATTTCTTCCATTTACAAAGTAACAACACAATAAGAAATAATAATTTTGACAATAATGGTAAGTTTTGATAAGTAGTTTAGAGTTTTGTAGTGAGTAAAAAGATGAAGAGAAAATAATTGAAATTTGAGAAAGATGAACAAACTTGTTTATGAAAATTATGTATAAGTGATTAGGATGTACCATAAGAAAAAAATAATATTTTATTTTAAGATTTAATGTGTATTGTTCTTATTAGTAAATTTTAAAATTTTAATTGGACATACTGAGTTACTATTTCGGTGCAAATAGAGAATCACTCGTTGGTTTGGTGTTAACTTTAAGTTATTTTAAAAAAATTTAATAAGTTATTTTAACTTTTTAATAATTTTTGGAAATAAGTTATTTTAATAATTTTTTAACTTTTTACGAAAAGATGTAAAAAAAGTAAAAAAAATGATAAGACCAAACAAAAGTTTGAACTTGAGAGCCAAGATTTTGGATTCCAGAATCCAAGAAATTAATCACTACAAAATAAATCAAAAATCACAAAATAAAAGCTAAAATATTCTAATTATTTATCATTTTGAAAAAAATTTCAGTATCATTACCGGTTCAAAAGATTATTCCGCAAAAACAAAATATACATCTAAAAAGTGTCAAAATTTTCTCATCATCAAATTGAGGGACAAATATGTAAAATAAAAGCTAGTTATGCTAGGGACCCTAACACCCCACTGGCATTTCATGGGCCAGTTTTTTTTTTTTTTTTTTTCAATCACCCACCCCCACGTGGGGGTGGGGGTACAGGGGTGGGGAAGTACAGGAGTTCGGGGCATTTTTGAATAAAAAATCACTCAAGACTTATAAATAAATTAGTCTATAGGACTTTTAAGTAATTATTCCCTTTTGCCTTGTACTTTACCTACTAAAATTAACATAAAAATAGGGAACAGTACAATTCGGTTCACTACGATTCTTTTAAGCCTTAATTCTTGAATTGAAGCATTACTTTCAATTTGAATCAGAATCTAAATCAAACGTCTTCTTAAAAAATAAAATGAAACCATACAATATAAATTGAAACAAACCGATTTATTGATTTCACCGATTTTGTTGTGCAGCACTAGTTGTTGATCTCTTCTTTTTGATTGGTGTCAACCCAAAAAGCACTAACATACCTCTAAAGCTGAGGCATGACACAAGATTTAACAGTCACATAATTATATGTAAGAAAGCTGAATTTTTTCGAGGGTATGTAACCAAATTATAAAGACATGCCTACCGACAACACATTTCAAATTTATGATGAAAAATGCCACAAAATGTGCATCTCAAGTTTTTCACACCTTTTTAGTTTTTTTTTTTATTTTTAGTTTTTAAACATAGTTTTAAAAACATTTCACATTTCTATATAATTCATTCCCATTGAGAGTCATTATTATTTTCTTTTTATTGAAGTCACATAATCCTCAATCCTCAATCAATAATGCTACACTTACCATTCTACAAAGTAATGCACTCATTCAAAATCATAATTGAACTTCAACTATGTGAAGCATAGTATCACTATGTTGCCTCAATCATACTGGTATAAAATTTTGTTCTTACTAACTACAAATCATTCTCTCAAATAAATAAATAAATAAATAAACCCTAAAACATAGGATTCAGATACCATATTCTACCTACCCACCTATGTTAAACATTATTATGAGGATCCCAAAAGAGAATTACTGTAAAATATTCCTAACCAATGTAACACCTCATGACTGTCAAATCGGTGGTTACTAACTCCTTTGCCAAGCCAAGCCAATCTTATTTGCATCTTGTTCCTTATCTCGCATGATAAATCTGGAAATTCGGCTTCCTCACTGCTTTGCCTGCTCAATAATAAAACCGAATTTTTATCATCAGTAGAACTCAATAGACAAGACAATTTATTACAGCACTTGCTGAATATTAGCACAGGTTCTAAAATCACTTATTTTGTTATTATCGTAAGTTTTCACAGTGGACTTGAAACCACAAATCATCCAATACTGGATGAAAGAAAATGCTAGGCAAATGGGGACTTGAGCCCGGACATCAAGGTTGAAAGGCCAATTGGGTACCGTACCCCTAAGGTGCAATGCTTATGGCTATGAAACACCACGTGTTTACGTGTTGGACACATATATATTGATGCCTCTTAAATTTATATTCATATACATAGCAAATAAAATATATATATATATATAAATTTGCCGTATTCCAGCAGTGTCTGTATTCTGTAACCCATGTCCATACCTGTGTCTATGTTCGTGCTTCTAAGCTTATGGCTACAATCTACAATCTGACCACCACTAAATTTACTGATCAGTCATTCTGCGGCTTTTAAAATAAGAACATGAAAACATATATCCAAGGCCCAGCATGAGGACCATCATTCATGACGTGTGTCTTTGTGGTGGGCATTGGGCAAGATATGATCCTCCTAAGACCTCCACTTATGTACACCAACCCTTCATCACTCGAGCTGAGGCCCACAGCCAAAAAGTGGTGATTAGTTTGGCAAGCCAATTTGAATTTGGGAAAGCAGTAGTTTTTTTTTTTTTTTTGGAAATTTTGAATTTTTGAAGATGTAAACTACCTGATACAACTGCTATCTGTGTCAACAAATAATGAAAAGTTCAAAACACATCCTAAAACATCTCTCTCCAGAAAGTGCCTTGTGATTCATGATAGTCTTGTCTTGATATGCATATGGAGGAGCCTAAAGATGAAGCATGCATTGTTTTGTTAATCTATATAGTTGAGTAATTAGATACATAGGACTCCACTTTTGAAATACCATACTCCTTCAAGGTACTATTTATTCCACAATAGTGTTGTGATAAGATGAAACCCTAATTTGGAATGGGATACAACTTCGTTTGAGTACAGATTTAAATATAAGTCAAATTTTTGTCACTTTTTCCTCCCTTTTTCCTTTCCCGACACAAATCCATACTGAAATCATTGATCCAAACACAGCCTAAAATGCGACGAGCAAAAGGACATATTCCCAGTCCACATCACTCATGATTCTCCAACTAAAATGCTTGTAGGACTTGGATTGCCTCAGGCAGGGAATAGGGCAGCGAAGGAAAGGCGACTATTTTGGTTTCCTCTCTAATGCAAACGGCCCTTAAAAAGATAGATAGGCTATTTTGCAGTCTTTTTGTCAACCATACAATCAAGGGCCATAAGTATGTAAGCAATGAGCACTTTTGTCCACAAATATGGCTTGGTATTGTTGGTCCCCAACAAAAATCTAAAGAGAATTGTAAGCTATCAAAGCCAATTTTTTATAGAGAGAACATTTTACCTGCGAATAGAGGAAGGTTCCAAGGATTGCGATCGCAGCTCCAAGCGCATTGATGGGTTGAACCGGCGTGCTGAAGATGATGATGGAAGAGACTATGACAGATATCCGCTTCATTGTGTTTCCTATGCTAAATGTCAAGGGAGAGATCTGATCCAAAGACATGTACGAAACCTGATTATACAAGTGGTAGAAGACGCTCTGGGCCACCACCCACCTATACAAATTGTAGCCACACATACTTTCTCATTAGCACGAAATTGACGGAGAATAAGAGTTTAAATACAAACAACATATCAATGCCACTATTTAATGACATAACAACATATCAAGCCATCAACATCAGTATTGCTATTTCAATCACCCAGAAGAAACCAAAAAAAATAAAATAAAATAAAATAAACGCATGCTATTCATGAGACAAGAAATGTAAAACGTAAAAAGTGCAAGAAAATGAGGCATCAAAAGTGAGTGTAACAATCAATGAGGAAACTTTAGAATTTGGTCAATATATGAATATCTGGCAATCACTACACAATTACAAAACAGATACTTGATCAACGACTAGTTTGCGATTCAAGTCAAAAACTGCATGCCCCTAATACGCGTATAGGAAAAACCAGTAACTTTCTTCAAACGCTTGATGGTACTCAATTTCTAGTCAAAGAGATCTCCTAGGCTTAGAAATTAAATCAGCGATGACAAACACAAATTAGTCCTGGACCTTTAATATAAACTTTATTCATATCCTCTGAAAATAAATTAAAAAGTTAAAAAATGAAAAAATAAGATATTTTAAGAGAAGGAAATAGAACCATATTCTTAGGGTAAGTTTTCAACAAGAAATATACCACTCAGCTCATCTTTTATGCCACATAGGGATGTAAACGATTTGGTTTGGTCGGGGTTGAAGTAAAAAATAGCACCGAAACAAACCCATCAGTTTTGTTATTCGTGGAACTGAAATCGACCAAATACTACGGTTTGGTTTTTCGGTTTAGTGTAAATGGGAGATTCACAGGAGACTTTAAGGGTCTTATAAAAATCTATAGATCCCATATGTATTTCTTTAGCGGTCCAATTTCCTCGAGAAATTCAACTAAAGATCCATCACCTAAATTATAAAAACAAATTTTTGCCTAAAATAAGCAGGTGAAAAGTGATCAGTAACTTTTTGCGTTGTCAAAACTCAATATCAGATCAAATACCAGCAACTTCACTTAATTCAGGAAGTTTTATCCCCTGAACTGGGAGATCTTCATTTCATTAAATCAAAACAAACAAGTAAACAATGGGATCTGCAACAGAGTAGGGGAATAAGTAGCTATATTCAAATTCACATATATGTTTTTAGAAAACATGACTTTAGTAGATTTAGGAGAGTTGCGAGTTATTGTGGTTACCAAATGAAATTAGGTCCAATTTGAGAGAGAGCAGTCTGCCAGCCAGCTGCCCACATTTGAGGGCCCTCCACAGCAATTGCAAAAGGTGTGAGGATCAATAGAGACATTATCGACAAACATGCGTAGTAATTCATCCCACTTACAGCCTTCCCCTTCATTCCTCTCTTCGAGAATATATTACGGAACACAAATGCCAAATTCGATATCATAGCCCCCATAAACCCTAAAACATATACCAACAAAATTTAAGACTCAAACACATAGATACCCCACAAATCATACTATGATTGATCATCAGAACATAACACACAATTAACAAACTAAATAATGTGAAAATTGAATATTTTGGTTCATATAGCCACAAGAAAAAGTAGATGGAACGAAAACTCAGTTGAATTAAAACCATGTCATCGTCTAAATTGATATTCTCACCAGTCATGTTGAAATTGAGCTCTGTGGCAGCAGAAAGAGCACAACCACCAATGATTGGCACAAGTGACAAGTAAACCGTTGCCGGAAACGATTCGCCGAGCAAAAACCTTGACACCAACACACTGAAAGCAGGCTCACCACTCTTGATGATGTGTGTGAATGAAACAGCAACCTTTGACATACTCACAGTTGCAGCTACATGCCCAATTGTATGCGCCACAGCAACCTACATAACAAAACAAACAAAAAAAACCCATTTAGATTCAAACCAATCACCACTCTTAAACCCTAACCCTAACATCAAAAACCCAAATTTCATACCGGAAACAAACTCTTCCAAAACTCAGGATCAGTCTTTGGAGCCTCAACAATCCTTGTAGCCCACGAAATCAGCATAATCAACGAACCCATTGCAAGAGAGAGTGTGGATGTGAGCCAAGGATAAGGAAACGCATTGAGAACTTTCTTGTTGTATATATTGAAAACCACATTCAATGCCCACCAAGTTGCGAAATACACACTGATTTTGAGCTTCTGGGCAGCCTCTGATCTCACCTGTTCGTCAGGTAAATCGATGTTAAGAGGCTGAGACCGATCAGCTTCGTATGCTTTGCATTCAATCAAAGCCTTTTGGGTTCTCAATGAAGGTCCAAACCCTTCAATAGATGATATAAACAGAGGCTTCTGAGTAGAGACATTGGTTCTAAAGACTTGTTTTGCTTGTGAAATTGAGGGTAGTGACAAGTTTTGAGGCTCTGAGGCTAAACTTTTTCTGGGTATCAAAGCAGAGCATCTGAAAAAGCTCGTTGATTGCTTTACAGAGCAAATCATATTGATGTTTTTGTTATCTATGACAATGCAATTGATCAAATGGGTTAGAATAAAATTGGCTATGGAATTGAATATGGGTAGCAAAAGAGAGTTTAAAAGGCAAAGGATAGGAAACAGGGGAGATGAGAAACAGAGGATTTAGGCTTTGAAATATCAGAATTGAAGTGTTTGTGTTGAAGGGTCGACGGATTGACCAAGAGAGAGATGAGACGAATCAAAAGGATCTTCACTAGCGATGAGGATTCAAGAGCATTTTTTTTATTTTTTTTTGCTAAAAATAGTATTAAAAAATAAAATAATTTAAAATAATTAATAAGACAAATATCATATTAAATTTATAATTATTTTATTTTTTCAAAACAAACATCATATCGAATTATAAAAAAAATCTAATTATCTTCTCAAACATAATATTTTAACTTCTTAAAATAATTAAAAATTAAAATAACTTATTAAAATAACAAATTTACAAACACTCACATAGAAGCCACCACGGTGAGTAGGCAAGCGTGGTTGGTATACGCAACGGGTGTATGTTTGGGTAGGTGACAGCTTGACTATGGACAGTTGTACAACTTTGAATTTGCAACATAGCAAACCCTAAAATTTTCAAAAGGAATGAACCATATGAATCTTAAATTTTTTTAAAAAAATGGAATAATTTTAATTTTTTAAGTTATAATTAAAAAAAATATCATAACTAAATATAATATGAGATATAATTAAAAAATTTATAAATCATAATTAAAATAATATCATAACTGAATAATAAAATGAATAAGAATCTATATAAAATGGTGTATATCAGAATTTTCCTAAGATTAGGGAGCTTCTCCAATTTATTAAAAAATCAACCGTGCTAAAGGCCTCGAAAAGAGAGGCACGAATTTGCCTCGAAAATTTGTTTTTTTGTTTTTTTTTTGGCGCTATGTTAGTTTGGTTTTGGGGTTTTTTTTTCAAATTAATATGCTTCTAATAAAGCATTTTATCCACAGTCTAATGAGCAAGGTCAATGTCTGAAAAACCAACACAGCCCAACAAATAAAACCAACAAAAAAAAAAAAAAAACAAACCAACATAGCCCAACAAACAGAAAAAAAAAAAAAACAACAACAACAACAACAATTTATCCTATGTGGTTTGATAAGATGAGTGAGTTGAGTTAGATTGATTGGGTGATAAAATTGACTGCTGGTTAAAATTTGTTAATTCCATATAGTTTTGTATAAGTCTTTACTATATTTTTATTTCAAATTAGAAAGAGTCGGAAGAAATAAAAATCTAAACCTTAAATCTTAAACTCTAAACCCACCTGCATATAATCATCCTTTAAAAAATAAAATAAAAAATAAAAAAAAAATTAAAAAAAAAAAGTAAGTGCAACAGCCCAACAAATAAATAAATAAATAAAAACAACCAAACTAACTCAACACAACAAATAAATAATAAAAAATAATAAAAACAACCAAACCAACACAGTTTAAAAGAGAAAAAAAAAAAACCCAGTTCGAGCCACAATGGAGGCCTCAGTCTTTTTAAAAAATTTACCAACTGCATTGTTAATCTAATTAGTTGAAAGGAAAATGTCTCGTACCTCAAATTTTGTGGCTCAAAAGTGGCTCAAATGGCCAAAACGACGTCATTTTGGCCATTTTTATGTTGTTCTGTACTCAAAACGACATCGTTTTGGCCATTTAAGCCACAAAATTTGAGTTACGTAGCATTGTCGTAATTGAAATGCTACCTTTTTTTGTTCCTCTTAAAAGTCTCTATTTTGAAGTGGGTTACCATGTGAATAGTAGGTAAATATTCAAATAAATTGGGGTGGCTCCCTGATTTTATTTTATTTTTTTTAAGTCTAATATATGGATTGTTTGATGAATGTTCTAAAATATATGTTTTTCAAATAAGTTAACTTTTTTTTTAAAAAAAAAAAAAAAAAAAAGGTCTTATGGTAGTAAGCTAAAAAACAAAGGGTTAAATTTTTTTTTTCTCTCACAAAAATAACTACAAAAAATCAATCAATTCAAATGTGTCAATTTTTTTAGCAATAAATAGGCCCGGCCCTAAGAACAGGCAAGAAAGGCTTGCGCCTTAGGCCCCCAAATTTGGGCTGAAAATAGGGACCTCCAAATATAATTTTGTATTATATATATAAAGGATTAGCTTTGTTATCTATTGAAAATGATATGGTGGATAAATTTGATTATGCAAGTTCCATTAGTGTTTTTACAGCTAAAAATGTGAGAAGAGTAATTTTTATGTGATAGTTGATTCAATTGTAAATTGAATATTGCTAAACTATAAAGCAACAAGATCATATTATTATTTTTTTTAGTATTTGTAATGATTGCTTCCTATCTTAATATATGAAAGTAAATTTTTATTTATAATTTTAATGATTATATGTGCAAGTAATTTTTTTTGTGGTTACAAACAAATAAAAAAGTTGTTGTAACTTATCGTTTTATCCATGAACTTTTTTTTTTCAATGTAAGAGGGGCCTCATTTCTAAAGTTTGCCTTGGGCCCCTAAATCTCAGGGCCGACCTGGCAATAAATTAACGTGATTTTGGAAATTTTAAAAATTTGTTTAGTTGTATATTTTAAAAATAATTTTGAAATTTTGGAGTTTGTGATGATTTGATTTTTATTTTTTTTTTCTAGTTGAATAGATGAGTGAGAGAAAAAGTAATTAAAATGAGAGACGAGAAACAAAAAGTAATGGGTAAATTATAAATACATCCCTTGAGATTTGCTTAAAATAGGGTTCGTTTGGTTTGTATTTCTGAAAAATTTTCTTTACAAATAAGTTTTTAAAAGTAATCAAACCAAACAAATTTTTTCAAAAAAATTTCTCAAAACTTGTAAACCAAACAAGTTTTCCAAACAAATCTCTCTCTCACACACATCAAATCAATCACTTTTTCCAAAACTCTCTCTCAAAATAATTTTCCAAAACATCTTTTGAAAAAAACCAAACCAAACAACTTTTCGTACTTTTTATTTCTAAAACACATCTCTCAAACACAAACCAAACATGTGATTTGAAAAATTACAAATACCCCCTTATTAGAATTTTTTATTTAACAGAATTAACTAAAAAAATAAAATTCATAATTGCTCTCCTATACAATAATAAAATTACCTAAATTTTTAATTGAAACATATTTTTAACATCATTAAAAACTGTTAATTGACTTGATGATTTATTAATAAAAAGAGCAATTTGTTATAAAATTAGAAACATCAAGGGGTGAAATGTAATTTTTAAAATCACAGGAGGTGCTTCGTATTTTAATCAAATTTCAGGAGATGTATTTGTAATTTATTTAAAAATTAATTGATTAATGTGTAGTAAAGATAATAGTGATTTTGGACTTCTTTTGTTTTTTAATTTTCAACCAAACATGTTTTTGGATTTTTTTTTTCCAAAAACATGTTTTGAGAGAAAAATCTACTATATGTGTTTCAAATCGTAGTGAAAAATCTTACAGGTAGAACATTCTTACTTCTGTTAAGTTATTAAGAAACTAATAATAACTACTGTATGTATTGAAATTTTTCTATCTATTAAAAGTATCATGTAAATATGTAATATGATATTTCAGAACAACTACCTAATTATTTTCCCACCATCATATGTATTGAAATTTGAAACTCTTGACATCTTTGGGCAAAAGGGGTTGAGTAGGTGTTTTTAGAAGTTCCATAAATCAATAATTCTTATTTGGTAAAACATATTTTGAGATTTTTATCTTAAATTTTGAAATTGTATCTTTAAGTTGTTGTGCTTGGAAAAGTTTTGAAATATTATTTGACGAATTTTTTTTTTTAGTTTTCGATTTATTTGTTTTTTTAGTTCAAAATTTTCTAAACAATCTAAAAAATCTAACTATTTTTTTTTAAAATTTATTTATGTTAGATTTAGAATTTTTTTTAAACTGCATTTTTATTTTATTTTAGCAATGGTAGAGGTGATTCTAGATAGAGGTATATAGGTATCACGTTTTGAATTGAACTTTTTTCAAGTTTAAATTTAAACATGAGAGAATTATTTGGACATGTGAAACCAATCACGAAATACGAGTTTCCCAAAATGGAAATTAGGGGTATTAGGGGCAATTTTTTTAGGGCCACCAATCATTTTCCTTATTTTCCCACCATCATATGCATTGAAATTTGAAACTCTTGACATCTTTGTGCAAAAGGGGTGTGAAGGCCTCGTTTGCGAACCCTTCTTTTTAGTTAAAAAGTTAAAAAGTTACTAAATTAGTCAAAAAGTCAATAATTCATACCAAAAAGTCAAAGATTCTCTTTTCTCTTTACTTTTTGCATATCTTTTCGTAAAAAGTCAAAAAGTCATCCCAAACATACTAGTTTTTTTTAGCTCATATTTTAGCCAAATAGCTAAAAAGTTACTAAATTATCCTGTTCCCAAACGAGGCCTTGAGTAGGTGTTTTTAGAAGTTCCATAAATCAATAATTCTTATTTGGTAAAACATATTTTGAGATTTTTATCTTAAATTTTGAAATTGTATCTTTAAGTTGTTGTGCTTGGAAAAGTTTTGAAATATTATTTGTCAAATTTTTTTTTTTAGTTTTCGATTATTTGTTTTTTTAGTTCAAAAATTTATAAACAATCTAAAAAATCTAACTATTTTTTTTTAAATTTATTTATGTTAGGTTTAGAATTTTTTTTAAGCTGCATTTTTATTTTATTTTAGCAATGGTAGATATGATTCTAGATAGAGGTATATAGGTATCACGTTTTGAATTGAACTTTTTTCAAGTTTAAATTTAAACATGAGAGAATTATTTGGACATGTGAAACCAATCACGAAATACGTTTCGATGATCTAATTATTTTATCAAACTACTCACATGATCAAGTTTGATATTTTTTATCTTTTGTTTTTTATAGAGCTCTCCATGTATATCAATCAATTTAGAAAAAATAAATTTAGTTATACTATCACATAAAAAAGATATATTAGCAAAATTTAAGCATAAAGATTTAATTAGTAATTTTATATCTCAAAAAGTTAAAAATAAAATAAAATTTTAACAACAATAACGTTATATTGTATGGTGAGTAAAGACTTAGAGTAAATTACTAATAGGTCCTATTTTTTAGACTTTGTTTATTAAGTCTTATTAATAAATTTATCAGTCTTTCCTGTTTTTCTGAATAAATTTACAGTGATAATTTATCAATTAAGACTTATAG